TTTGATGTTCCTTCCCCTCATTGAAGCCTGAAGTCAACTAAAGGGCTAATGATAACTCTCCAAATGTCTGCCATTTGATATAAACATATAAATATTTTGAATTAATTGATACATTTTCCCTTAATAAATAAGATAGAACTCGAGGCCTATAAAGTCATCATAAACAATTCTCATTTTCTAAAAACATTATTGAAGCAGTTTCAATTGTGTGACATTCCGTTAAACTATCAACAAATAATAGAGATCAAATTGGGAGCATATGGGGTCAGATTACTCCGTTCAGAGGTTTAGTTCACATTACACCTGCATGCTTTATGTCCAGTAAAATATCACGAGATCGTCAAAATAGCTCTTCATATTTGTACAAATTGTGGGTCACTCAATCATCCACAGACCCAAAAACTCTAATCTTGGTATGTTTGTGAAGTAAGCCTATTGTTAATTATTCAATGCGATTTTTATTTACCTCAGTAGACCCTTGCAATAATGGTGATTTAATTAATCAGTTCTTCAAGCTAAACAATATGAGAAGAAGTGAACTAAGAAGTTTGCTCACTGTGAAAACCTTGAATCACCTAAATTCAACGCTCTGGTGGTATGGCGATAGCGGAAGGCTTTATTAACTGGAGTAATCCTCATTACCACTTAACACAGACGGAGTTTATTTGATGGGGAGAGATTCCGATAGATCTTTCCTTCTTCAGTACTATGGCTTCTCATCGTCGGACCACATATTAATCTGCCTTTGAGACAAGGTAGTGCATATGATTGACTTTTCTCTTTGTCGTCTAGCGTATCTCGTTTGTCTAAGTCAAAATTGTGACTTAAAAATCTTATTTACACATAATCTAGTTACGATTAGACAGAGTGTCTTTTGAAACTACGCTGTCACTGCCATTCGGGTTCATCATGCTCTTGCAGGATACACACAATCCTAACATGATTGAACGAATCAATCTCATGCTCATCCGAACATTCTGAAGAGTGCGGTCGTGCAAGCAGAGAACTCCTTAACTAATCTACTATTAGTATTCATTCAAGTAACGTTGAATACATTCATATAACTAAACATGTTTGTCGTGAGGTTAAGTTGCAATAAACACTGTACTATCTATACATTCTACTTCCTCGATATTGTCGAGGTAGCATAGCTGATAACTTGAGTAAGTCTAAATGGGAGGATTTTGGCATAAAGGATCTTTTAGGTTTGGTGAAGGCTTATTTGTGCAGCAATCTACTACATTCGATTAATTCATAAGATTGAGGCGTCAATAAGGCGAAGTTCAAATACATTTCATCAGCTGAAGATTGTTGCAATATTATCGGTTGGTTTGGTAACATGAAAATTATTGCCATATTATCAACATTAGCATATTGATGACTAATGCTATAGGTGTGATCCGACATCATCCGCGTTGTTAAAAATTTTACCATTTTAAGAGTTTTGGATGGAACGAAACAAATGGTAATCCGAAGGCGCAAGGTCAGGGCTATATGGTGGGTGTGACAAAACATCCCAACCCAGTTCCAATCATTTTTGCCGAGTAACCAAAGATGTGTGGGGGGGGGCCTTGCGCTATCATGATGGAAAACAACACCCTTCCGCCGATTTGATAATGCCGGCCGCTTATCTTCAATTGCATCCTTCTTTCAGTTTTTCGAGTTCTTCAACATACACATTTGAATTTATCGTTTGGTTCTGCGGCATGAGTTCAAAATACAAAATTCCTTTGTGATCCCCCCACCAGACTGACAGCATAATCTTTTTTTGGTGAATCTCTGCTTTTGATACTGTTTGGGCTGGTTGATCTTGCTTCACCCATGATCTCTTGCGAGTAACATTGTTATAAACTATCCACTTTTCGTCGCCAGTAACTAGGTTCTTCAGAAATGGATCATTCTCATTCTCATTGCGTTTCAGTAGCGGCGAATCACAGATGCTAATCCGTTGTGTCAAATGAATTTCCTTTAATTGGTGAGGGATCCATAACTCAAGTTTCTTGACATAACCAAGGGTTTTTCATTTTTTTTTTCAATGCATGTATGCGACACATTGAGCTTCTCTGCAATATCTCGTGTTGTGCTGTGACGATTTGAATCGATAATGGCCTTGATATGGGTTTCATCCACTTCGACTGGGCGGCCAGATCGTTGTGAATTTTTCAGTGAAAAATCACCGGAACGAAATCTTTCAAACCTATTTCGACACTGCCTTTCTTTTAAGGCTTCATCTCCATATACGGCACATAACTTCTTTTGTGCTTGCGATGCGTTCTTGCCTTTTCGGAAGTAATACAATAAAATGTGTCGGAAGTGCACGTCCTGTTCTTTCATTTTTAAATTGGGATAAAAACAAAACTAAAGAACTAAACAAAAAAATTGTTAACTAATTAACCTAGAAGCCCATACAGTAAAAAAATATAGGTTAGATGCTCTGGCCTCGTTAACAAAACAAAAGAATGTATTGAGTGAATCTGTCAACAAAAACGGCAATGACTTAGTTGCCCACCCAATAGTTGCGAGGCCTATTTAAATTGCTATTTTCATATCTTTCAATTTTAACTAGGAAAATTTAAAGTTTTTGAGTGAAATAATAAAAAAAGTTTCGAAATAACTTAAATATAAATTTGAACTAAAAAATTAAAACAATACATTGAAGTATTTCCTTCAAAATTCAAAACTACATGAGGTAAATTACATGATCGCACACTATATTTCCTCAATTAGCGTGAAATTATAAAATAGAAACGGGGTGCGCAATAGACTTACCTCCACGTTGTGCACCCTGGGCAACGTATACTTATGCGGCAAAAAAGCCAAACTTCTATGGACCGATTAGTTGTCCTATTCGACCCCTTCCACAATACTCACCTCACCTTTTTTCTACCTTTGTGTCCGTTTGTCTGTCTCTTTTACCTCTGTGAATCATTATTCTGTCTCCGATCTCGGCTTTTTGTCACTTTGATGTTCCTTCTCCTCTCTGTTAAGCCCCGAAGTCAGCTCCAGGGCTAATGATAACTTTCAAAACGCATGCCATTTTTTATAAATAAATAAAATAGAATCTCTTTTTCATTCGAATAATTTAGAGGTAATTAAATGATTAAATCTGCTATAACTCAAACCTGCCAATTTAATGTCAGATTTGTAATTCAAACAAGTGTTGAAAATTCATTTCAGTCAGTTAACGATCTGACAAAATTTGAAACATTTATCTTAAATCAGGTGCAGATTGCACAATTTTAAACTATCTAACTTACTGTCTCTACAAATTAATTAGAGATCCTTATAGAGAAAGCAATTGAGATATCTGCACTCAATTGACACCAGTTGCTTAAAGCTAGCAAGTTGTCAACGGCATCTTTTGCGATCTTCCCGTTTTAAATTAAATTTCCCCTTCTCTCTCTCCCTCAACTTTGATGGAAAATCGATATCCTGATCCATGGGAGAGGAGCAGGATAGTGAATAAACTTTGGCAAGGGATAAATAGATCCCATTGGGATAGAAGCTATAAGCAAACGCTAATGAGAGGCTCATTGAACGAGTTTACGTAATAGGGCACTGCTATGCTGTTTGAATTTAAGAATTTAGTATCTTTTTACTCACACCTCCGATCATAGCAGAGTATTTGTTGAACTCATCTTTCTCTTCAGTGGTGACTCTGAAGTTTAATCCTCTGTCTACAACGACTCTGAAACCTTTAGATGCCTAAAAGCCTCTAGAGTACCTTAAGGAAAATGTTACCAACACCTGAATTGAGTAGAGAAGAATTGTATCCCATATTAAAACTGAGATTATATCAACCCTCATGTAGACCAAATATGAGTAAAGCGGTCATCCTTCAACATTATTGCAAGGGGGTGGATGAGTAACGGTCGCGTGAGCCTTGGCTGATCTCCATATAAAACAATCATTTCTAACTCATAAAAGTTCAGATACTATGAATACTAATTGTACTCAGATAACATCTATTCATACATGAACTTTTGTCAAAATCATAATTTTTTTCAATATGAAGTATCTGTGAAGATGTCGGCATTCTCTCATCAACAACGGTTAGTGACTATCGAGTTCTTCTTGGTGCGTTCTTTAATATCATTACTCATCATGCTTACTATATGTGTAGATATAGCGACTGCATTCAACCATAATATATTTATCGACTCTTAACCTAATAAATTATTACTTCGTCTAAGTCACGCATGGCTCACATATGGCAAAGTAAAAGATTGTTATTCAAAAAATCTTATTCTGGTCCCGTCCTTAAAACTTTGTATTGAACTTAGAAAGGGGTTACTAAAATCTTATCAGTAGTAAATTTTTAATACTTATGTTTGAAATTGACTGAAGAGCAAGCTAAACTGGTTGGAATATTCTATTGTTCTCTGTGTTCGAATATATGCATTCTGAGTTACCATTTATCATTAATTGTCAATTGAACACATTCATCTTGAGCCCTTCCTATCCCAATTCCTCCTTTTGAACTCAAATGTTCATCCACTCTTCCCCCAACTACAATCTGAGATAGTATCCCAGTAAGCTGAGAAATACTACTTCAACTTGTTCGTGTTAGCGATGAAGAGCCAACTATGTTCAGCCACAGACGTCTTTTAAGAAGCGCTTTGAGTAATTCAGTTATAGTTAATGACCCGATTGATGACATTTAAATTCTTCTTTCGATAGGTCGTAGAGCGAATGATTAAGTCTAGCTAATAAAGATGTGGTGCAAAAATTCGTGTTTCTACTCAAAGGGACAATATAACACTACGGATAATTATGGCGCAAGTACTTATATAAGTACAATAAACTTCTGATCCTTAGAAGATGAATCTAGCCGAAAAAAATCAATGCTCCAATACGCTTTTCCCATTGCTTCTGACTTAATGAGTCATTTCAAACGTCAACTTATCCAATGCTATAAAAGAAAGCAGAGTACTTATGTTAGTTTTGCTTTGTATTTGTAAAAAAATTGACAATGATGACGATGATGAATGCTATTTCGATTAGTCAATATATTCGATGATAGCAATGTCGGCTGGGTCCCTTTTAACATACTCGTTCTCAATCAACTTTTCGATGCTTAACTAAAGGAAGGTAAAAAAGGAGGGAATGGTAAATTATGAAAATCGACTCTTCTTTTTAAAGTAGTATAGAAAAGTACCTTGATCTGATGTGTAGTGGGCTGGAAGGTGGTAAAAGACTGTTCCAATATCTCTTTCTTTAGGTCTTGATATGCCAAGCGTCGTCGTGTCTTCAGCATTTGAACAATGCGGCACTAATTTGGAAAACGCAAAGTAAAGCAATCGAGTTAGTTGACAATAACATTGGAAAGCAAATTTCTTGAGAAAAGCACCTGAATAGAGTTCATGCGGACACGTTTCAAACTTTCTTCATCCACCACCTCCTCCTTCTTCTTTACCAATCTCACTGGGATATTCAGGTCAACATATGATTGATCGCTGAAAAAAATTAAGGAATGTAATTAAATGACCTTTATTACAGAGAGATTAAATAAATAATTGGAAAATGGTGTTAGAGTAAGCATGAATTGACAGACATAGACAAGCCATATTTAGAACAAATTAAGCATGTCAAACACTTCGATAGAAGTGGAATTAGTCCAAGGGTAATTCAATCAGGATTAGTGGGATGTATTTTTGCCGATTATGTGCCACTACTCACACAGTTATCTCAGTTCATGTGAGCGATTTCTATACTCCATAATCAAGGACTTCATCTGAACTAACTGCAGATGTTCCAGATCTAATCGGAATTTCGGATATCTTTTGATGCTTATTTTATCTTAATTGGACACTTCTGAGAATAAATAAATTCTACTCTGCTAATGGTATACGAGTTATTTGAAAAAAAAGCTCAAAACTACATACATTGTCTAATTTCAGTTTTCGTTATTGCGGTGAATATAGCCCAAAATCTCAAGTACCGTAGAGGATACATCTTACCAACCAACAATCGAAAGGATCTTAAAGCTACGTAGATGTTTGTCATTTTGGTATTATGTGATATAGCTTGGCTCTTGCTAGAAATTGAGCCTTTTAGATTACTTGTAATATGTCTTGCAAAGAGCAAGTTTGGTGTTCATTGTAAGGATTGGGAGATTTGGGAATAGTTCTGTTTCTTGGGAGTATGATTTTATGCCCCGCTCCATCTCCTCTATTCCCCCATTGTCGGCAGGCATTGCTACATCGGCACTGACGACCTCCAAGATCCGCGTCTTTAAAAGGCCTTCAAGTAGGGGAATTAGCCTGATCTCATCAATGTTCGTCTGAGCCTGCAGTTCTCCAACTGTGTAAGTATCGGCGTTGTTAAATAACATTAGAATCGCCATTTGATATGCCGAAACCTGAAGGTGTAAAGATACAGATTACAAATAATGTTTTTTTTCAGTTAATTTCTGCATTGCGAAACTACTTTGGCGGCCTTTTTATAATCAACTGCTGAGGCGAACGTGGATTGTCTGCCCCGAACACGACACTCTTATTTGCACGCCATCTTCCCGCTTTCACTGGAATTCTTTTACCTTCCACTACCTTGATTCCCACTCCCCCCCCTCCCCTCTTAATTCATTTTCATCTATACTTTTTACTCCACTATGGTAATTGTGGTATCCTCTCCACTACCTGAATGGGGTGTGTGTCTGAGCGTTGAGATTTACACCTTTATCGGAAAAGCTGGTGTTTGCCACCTCTTCCTTCCAATTTTATGCGTGTTCGGGTAAAAAAAATACCTTGGAAATTGCAGGTATAGCAATAAGGCACTAATGACTTACGGCAAAGGTGTAGGATGTTTTGGTAAAATGTGAAGTAATTTCTCCGCTGCAAAAGTTGAAACACCAAAGCAATTTCCGTTTCTCGAAGTGGCGGTGGTAAAATTCACAAAAAGAATCCAATGAATTTTCTAACTACAAATAAAATGACCGTAGCAAATTAATATCACAAAGAATAGAACAACATTAAAAAACACTTTTCTTACCTCAGGCGGAACCATCAAGTCAGTCTCGCGCTTGAAAAAACGACTGCAAGAGGCTTGAAACACGACAATTGTTGTGCTGGGGAAGCCTATTAATTAAAAAAACAGAGATACCAAGAGAGCTAATTGACCATGGAATGATTTTTAAATCGGACAAAGCTTTGGTCTTATTCTTTTCTTCAATCTGAGCCTGCTAACACTTTTCATCGATCATTTAAATGCCTATTGTCTTAAAATGGAAGCTATTTAACAATTAGAAACAGTGAAAAATGTTAACGAAAGTTGAGGTGGTCTGGGAGACGGTTTCGGGAATCTCAAGATCTAACACTTATTAACAAGAAACTATCAGGCAAGTGACACATCCTTGCTGGGTTTTGCAACAGTTATCATTGGGGAAATGCTTAAAAGTATTCACCTAAGCAGTAAAACTTTCATTATATTTCCATTTTCATATCTTGAAGAGCTAAAACAAATGTCGCACCTGGAGTTGACTTTTCGTTTGATCTTCCTCTCAGCCAATTGCAGAATTCCTTATTAAGTCCCTGGCTGGATTGCACATCAGCCAACATTCGATTGTAAGTGTTGGGATATGAAATATCGCATTTCTCCTCGAAGAAATTGATCATGCAACGTTCGTGGTGCTCGGAGAATGGTTTATTCCCCACTAAGCGTCGAGCCAGAAAGCTTCCATACTTCCTCAGGAAGGCATCCTTGTCTTCCAAAAATGGGAATACTTTCATCTTTTAAAAAGCGGGGGGGGAGGGGTGGAAAAGCGGTCATTAAAGCAGATTTAAACGAAAATCCGGAGTGAAATCTCGATATCAAATCACTCACCACAATTTGGAGTAGTTCAGCCACGTTTCCAGCAGTCTTCAAACTAAAAGTAAAATTGCGTCAAGTTGTGAGCAGATCTTGAATTTCCCTAATAGTCCTCCAAAGATGAAGAATATAATAAATTATTTGCAAAATTTAAAAACAGAAATTACTGTCTTCGAAGTATGAGATCCGAATATTTCGCCAGAATCACAGACGATTTAAGTGAACCTCCAAGGGCTTCAGTAACCGCATTCGCATTAATGAAGCGTTTGCATGCATTGTTGCCAGCTTGAGTGAAGAGAGAATGCTTTCGAAATGCGTTTTCTAGAAGGTAATCACACTTTGACAAAAGAGCGTCAATTGTTTCCACGTATAATTTGGTGGACTGAAATGAAGATTGTGAATTGTGGTTTACATTCACAGGTAAGTGCTCTTCTGGTGGTAGATCAATATTAGCAACTTACGGATTGAGCTTCATTGCAAACTTGACGCAATGCACGTGAACCCATACAGTATATGTGGTAGTCAAATTTTTCGAGAAAATTTTCCAAGTCATGGTCGTACTTAAAGAGGAATGTAGTCAGACTTGACAATTCTATTTCGAATTAAAATAGGAAAAAAATAGGAGGCATGACATATTTGTGGAAATAAGGAAAATAGCATTCAATAAAAGCCTACCGTCAATTTTATCCCCAGTTAAAAGGTCCGTGAATTCCTTCAATAGTATCCCTTCATTGTTTTTATTCAGTAGGCTTTGTGCCACAATTCTCGCGATTATTTCATGTGTTCCTTCATGAAAATACTCACGACACCTTTGAATCTCATTTTGAACGACATTTTCTGTCTATAAAAAAGCGAAAGCACTCAGCAAGTAAAAATAGGAAATTTTGGTTTTTAATTACTTTAGATCAGGAGAGGCAAATGCCTACCCATTTAATGTAGCCGGTAGTGATGAGTGATGCTGGTGGCTGGTAGTTCTGAGTCTTATAAAAATTTTCCAATCCTTGCAGGAATTTTGATTTAAAATATCCTTTGTTGTTGCGGTCTGATGGCAAACTTCTAATTATTCTAGATATTAGCGTCTTAGATACTTGCTCTCCTCTACGATCTTTGTCAATTTCTGTTAGAATAAGTCGAACAATCTTTTTTTTGCAGTTCTCATATATTCCAAAATTCCAAATTTCGACTCCTTTCTGAATGACAAATAAAAGTATACATTATATAAACATTCTTATATATATATATATATATATATATATATATATTATACTCACCAGATGAAAATATTCATTATAACCCCCTGGAGAAGTAAAGTGCAGTGGATGATAGTGTCTAGCGTATGGATTTATCCATCTGAGAGTTTTTAAATAGTTAGAATATGATTCTACGTAAAACGATAATAACTCCGAGTCTGCCAATGCAACAGCAATCTGAAATGCAAAAAATTAACATGGCTATGACTTCAGTGATTTGAACTGTGAACTTTATAATCGGGACAAGAACATGCATTTGTGGGACACGCTATCGCTGTGTGCGTCATCGTATGCCTGCATGCCTGCTCGTCAGGATTGGGAGGTGCGCCAACTCTGTGTGCAAGCCAGGATTGGGAGGTGCGGCCGTACAACTTTGTGTGCAGTACCGTACAAACAGTGACCAATCACCAACCTCTGTTTAACCAAATCCCCCATCCTGATCATGAGTAGCTCCCTGTGTGTACACTTTGTCCGCAATTAACCTACTGAGCCTGCGTGTGCACTTTATCCACAATATACTCTGTGTGTACACACTTGATCCGCAATATACGTCCTGAATAAGCGGGTACACTTGATCCGCAATATACGTCCTGAATAAACGTGCTACACGTCTGTTTCCTTTATAGCTGGGCTATAGCTTAGCCGGTCCTGGGAGTCTAGTTAGATGTAGGGGGATCTGTCATAGAGATTTCTGAGTCAGTCAGGCTTTAATAAAGTTGCAATCCGCTACACATTATAGACACAATAAAGAATTGCCGCTATAAAAGCCTCTTTCGCAAACACTTCGTATAAACCACTTTATGCAGAAGAACAGAAACCGAAAACTCACCTGATATAATGCACGCCATTAGCCAAAATGTAACCAATACGCTCGTCTGACCACACTGCAACCCGAGTGGAGTGGTAGATGAGTGCTTAAAGTGATCTGGGGTTCCGGTTGATAACCGCATATTATTAATTTTTGTGGTAAATTTGATAAACCCCTTGAGTAAAGTTTACTTAAACGTCAACTATTGAACCTTCGTGTCTATTTAGTGTTGAAAACATTTTATTTAAAATTAATTAACGATTTCTTTTGGCACTATGGTTGTGTCTCTGTTGTTAAATTACACTATAATTCTTAAAAGCACATGCAAAGTGCATGAATGACATTGAGGCGTGCTTGATGCTTAGGTAAATCTAATTTAGCATTCCCGCAGACACCCATTTACTAAGGTAGGAAATCAAGCTGACCAGTATCCAATAACAGAAGACGGTCAACTCTGATTAATTGAATGCTTCATAATAACCACTATGTCATATACTCAATACAAGCATGCAATACATTTCGTATAATTCAACTCGACAAGTATCTTGAGTTTTCAGTCTGCCAAAAACAATTTGATGAGCTCTTCGACTCCAATTACCAACTATAGTTGGCCATGTGTATTGTAATTCAACACTTGTATGTAAATTTCTTTTTTGCTGGAAAGAGTTACAGATCCAAACGTAATAAATTTTATGTCGAGACCAAAAAAATCGATAAAAATATAAGGAAATGCAAAACTTACACGTCTAAGGCGCATAACGTGTTTCTTAAGAGATCTGCGTAGAAAAAAATGCATTCCCGTGCAACGAGGTGGAAACGAGACGTGGATCCTTTCTTTATCGCAGTAGATAGCCGCACTTTCGGAGAATAGAGCATTTTCATTCTCGTCGAGATCAGACCCCGATAGCATCTTTTGAATAAGCCAATCCAGAGTTCTTCTGCCAGTCGGATCTGCATATTTTCCATCTGTAAGCGTGGCCATTGAATTATACAAGCGCAAGCTTTGATAGATCCTATCTTTAAGCAATCAGTGAATGCTTAATTGTGCTTTTACGTAACTCTGCCTTCCGCTTATATACTATTTCAATTGGCAAATAAAAGTCAGGTCATTATGTATAGGCAGGTCATATAATTTAAGGTGAACAATTTTCCGAATGTCCTTTAATCGATCAATACCTCTAAAGCCAGTTCGACCACTATTTGAAATAGCTTTGCTTTAGTTTTAAAATACCTATCATTTGGAGTCCAATCCGCTGTCCCTTAGTTGTGTTACCTCATGTAATAGCATTATTGACCAGTTCTGTCAAATTCACTCAATCTTCTGATCAAATTCAAATATTCCCTTTAAGTGAGAGTTAGAGGGGGGGGGGGGCGTAACATAGTTGACCACGAAACTGCAAGAGAATTTGCAACAGAGACTCTCAGATCCCTCTTTTCTCTTCATACTCACAATGCACTTGTTATTTAGAATAAGAGAATTGTCAGTGTCTTCAGTTGATCAAATGTGTTTTTGCGATGCCAATTGTTCACAACAGTTGAATTTCAAGTGGCAACTTTCTAGCAAGTGCAATGCGTATTTACTAATAAACATCAAACTCACTGGTATGCTGAAATTTTTCCAATACTTTCTCTATTTAGATATCGATTAAATGGTGCTGAAATGGCATTGTTCTTGTAGGGAGATAAGGAATTAATTAGGATATTGGAATGACAATCTTTTAGTATCTCAAAGTTACTATGTAATGAAAAGGTGTGCAAGCATATTCTGGCATATTCATCCTGTTAAATGGTTCACATTGCAGTCCAACAATGTGCCGAAATGTATTGGGATAAGTATTGCACAACAAAGCCAGAATAAATTTTCCAGGTTTGCCTAATGCCTTTGCTACTACGGAATAGTGGGATTTATCACTGATGATTATGGCATAGTATTCACCATTTCTCAAGATTTATATAATACTGGAAGGTAAATAGACATTGATTTTTCGAAAAAAAACAGTGGATTACTGAGTACTTCGCAAACTTGCTCGAGAAATTATCCACAGAAATAGATTGTCTTTTCTGCAAAAATTTTAGTAAGCATGTTTCCTGATGTGCTGAGCTCATCTAACATTCCTGGTTCTCATAGCTCTTTTAAAATTTGTCTCCTTTACTTTCTAATGCAATTTCATGTTGATAAGAATTGGTACCTATCAGTCAGAGGGAGAGGGAGGGAGAGAAAGAGGGGTGGGGGGGGGGGGAAATAACAGTTAACATTCTTTCTTGAACAACAGGCTCCTATTTTTCAGTCAGACAGGACTCGTATTCCTTGTTTTCGACGAAAAGAAGCAGGAGTAGTGCAATGTTGCAGTTTTTAATCGAGTGACTTGATATTTACGTGTCTAAAATGGAAGGCGTTATAATAGTTACCACCGCCTCTTAAGTTGACTTCGGGCTTCACGGAAGGGAGGGAAGGGGGGGGGGAACAGATAAGTGGTCTACAGATGTAAGATGGACAGGCGCAAAGTTGCCGAAAAAAAGGAAGGTGAGTACTGTGAAAGTGGTGGAATATGACATACAGTCGGGTCATGGTAGTTTGAAGTCAGAAGTCAACTGCCAGTTAATAGACTTTTTTGTCGTATGAGTATTCGTTGCCCAGGATGCACCACATGGGATGAAGTCCATCGCACACCCCGTGACTTGTTCTAAACTCCATGGTCTTCTTCAATTCTTATTCATCAAGTTTCGTGATCCTCTTTGCACTTTCCTCATCATATATTTCGCTAATCCTTAAAAGTGTGTCAGTGTTTACAAACAGCAAAGTTCGGTTACTAGCGTTTACTAATTCGTCGTCATAAAATTTCCACCTCCATAATTTTCGGCATTAGAATTATTAGAGGTTCGAAGTCTCTCAGGCGTAGTTATATAAATAAGTACAGTACATAAGCACTTTTAATCATAACAACACTCAGTTTAAGAAAGTGGCACTTAAAATAAGTTCATGAACTTATATTGAGTTTACAATAACTATGTGCTTAGATGAAAGATACTTTTATTCTTGTTATATTCTATTGAATGGGGTGCGTGATAGACTTACCTCCACGTGGTGCACCCTGGGCAACGTTTACTCATACGGCAAAAAAGTCTAATAACTGGCGATTAACTTCTGGCTTACAACTGCAAAGGCCCAACTGTATGCCATATTCTACCACTTCCGCATTACTCATCCCACCTTTTCTCTGCCTTTGTGTCTGTCTCTTTACTTCTGTTCTCCACCCCTCGACTTTCTGTTACTTTGATGTGCCTTCCCCCTGTGAAGCCCGAAGTCGGCTAAAGGGCTAATGATAACGATCAAAACGCCTGTCATTTGAAATAAATAAATAAATATTATATTGAATTACCTCATTTATTAACTTAAACTCGTAGAGTACATGACCCTAATACGAATAAGCAAAGTTATGACTTTGATGCTGATCGCGTTAGGTCGCAAATGAGTTCACGAGTGCAGAGACTTATCGACCAATCAATAATCATAATATTATAATATGATGGACTATTTCCAACTGAGACACCAGATTCAATCTACAGTGAATTTAATAGTATATAATTCTATGGTTGCAATTTACTATGAATCACTTAATAGCCTTTTCCGGTAAACAAATTATTGTTGATATGGTCGTGCTCAATGGATAATCTCAAACAAACAAATGTGAAAATGACAACCGAATCATTAAAATTTCATAGCGATTTATGAGAAGAAAAATTATTGAAATATTACCAATACGATCCACGAATAGTTACCCTCTAAATAATCCGACTAAAATGATTTTGACTCATGGGCGTAGAAACCTCTCTTGGCCTCTTCTTTTGCATTCATTACTCAGACGCTTCCGCGTGATTGATCAGATTATATCGGGCACACTGTCCCCTATTGTCAAGACACTTCTGACTGGTCATGTTCGTCAAAGCGTCATCGTCCGTTTATGAGTCACCTGACTTCATATCAAAACTGAAATTTAGGAGTCGAGAGTAAGTTAATTTTAGCGTACCACGATTAACCAATTATAAGCGAATTTTCAATGGGACATTACTAGATTTTCGATTCCCATATAGGGGAATTTCTGAACTAGATCGAACCCTTTCACTGAAAGCAATCATGGAAAAAGCCATTCCTAACATCACTTTGATAGAAATAATTCCGTATTTCCAGATCAAAAGTGCATACACTACTTGCACTAAATCAATAATGTTTTAATTTTTTTCTGAGGTTGTGTTAGCACAATACAGTCCGTGCGTTTATTATCAATTAGCAAACTGATCAGATCGATGGTGATAGGGTGAATTATAGGCAATAAAAATTGGAATAAACTAGATCAGTTTGACTCGAAATGAAAGAATCGAGGGGAGAGAGGAGGGACAAATTAGAGACTTCATCGCAATAAAATAACCAAAAAACCCACTAGTATGAAGGTGAGCTAACAATGAATCCAAAATGTTATCATGACTACATTTTGGAAACATTCAGCTAATTCGAAAGACCACAAATATATAACCTCAGGATTCGTTGTACATACTGATTAATTTCATATTTTAAAATAACCATGAAGTCATAACTCATAGGGTTAGGTTTTGGAGCGTGACCTTAATTAAGATGAAGGCTAGTGGCCTTTGCGTACACTTACAAATGAACACACACACGCAGTACAAGGTTTAGGCATTGGCGAGGACCTCGAATTAGCAAAATAATCCAGTAGGTAGTGGAAGAGAGGGTCGAAAAGGAATATTGAGAGTTGTGCTCCATTTGAACTTCGAAGCAGTGATCTGTCACACTCTCATCACAGGTGGAGA